CACACTTTGGACGACGCCGACGATGGCGAATGCTTCTGCCATCGCGGCTACTCGATAGAGCCTGATTGAGACCGCTCAAGTCCAGTCAATGCAAGGATTGCAATCTACAACGCCTGCGTGTTCGCTGTCCTTCATACAGGCTGTCGTTGTCTTGTACCAGATTATGAGGTACTATCGCGCACTTCGCCAACCGTCAGACCTTGAAGAAAGAGATCTTGAAGCAGAGACGACTGGCAACTTACGAATCTTCCGCTTAGCAATCTCATGGTGAGGGAAGGACGGGCGGAGGGGGAAAACACCCATGCGAGAACGATATGGATAACGCTACACCGTCTTAACTCTAGCCTCTTCGGGCTTAGATCGCTGTATGACCACTCCAAGGGTGCCCCGAGCGTCAACCCCCAAACCTGGCAAAAATTGTTCGACAGAAAATGGTACTGTTGAATTCAGTCTATACTAATCATAATCCTCAAACCAGAACATCTTGGGCGCCTCAGACAGCCACTTTTAATACCTCGCCGACGTCCATGGAGCATACCAAACCACCCACCCAATCACTCAAGCCCACTCCTCCACATCCGCATAATCCCTCCCCTCCTTCCCCTCCCTCATGACCAAACCATGACTTTCCCAGTCATAGCACCCCACCTCTACCTCCTCCGTCGTCTTACAGAGAGGCCACACCCGCTTGGTTCCCATATCGCAAAACAAGCCTTCCGAGTGACTCACGAAGTCGGGTCCGTGACTCGTGTCACTGCCGCAGAGTGCCTTTGCGCTATGCTTCTCGTGCGTGCTGGACACCAGCTTGCTGCGCAGGGCCAGGGAGCGTTTAGAGGGTTGAGGACGGCGGCGGTGAGGATGAGCGGATCGGCGTTTGCTTCTGAAGCCGTGGTCTTTCCAGAATGCGATGCGGGAGCGTGACGGGATTTTGTGTTCGAACCATTCGAGTCTGAATTCGTAGTCGTAGTCGCGGACGAACAGGGTGGCGGGGTAGGTGCAGTAGTAGGAGGGATCGGTGGGATAAGGCTCGGTGAGGTTTGTGAAGTCCTGTGCGAGGAAGGTGAGTGATCGGGGCTAGGGGAGGGTTGGGAGGTGGAGGAGGGAGAGGGGGGAGATATACCTGCATGTGGATTTGCATGGCGGCTGCTTCGATGTTCTCGAGAGCGTCGGTGCCGTCTTTGGCGTGGTCGCGGTCGAGCCAGGTGCAGTCTGTCAAGGTATTAGCTCCTTTTCTTCTCACTCCTCGTTCGAAGCATGCATGAAGTATGCGTAGCGCGCAGCCTCCACCCTTCATTACGATGGCACTAACCTGGCATATACTTCTGCTCCCCAACCTTCACGTTACTGAAAAACCACCTCTTCCCACACGCCCTCCCCACATCACCCAACCAGCCTCTCTGCTGCCCATCCGGCCACGTCTGCCCAATATAGGCAACACAGACCGCATCATCATGTCCCAACACCTGCATATAAGTCGGCTCCTGCCCCGCCCCGTCATCCTCCTGATGCACCACCACATCCACATAGCTCCCACTCTTGACATGGTCATTAGCGACCCATTCTGAAGCGCCGATGTACCACTCCTTTTCGTTAAAGGCGACGAGGGAAGGGGCTCGACCGTCGGCTTGGGTCGGGCCGTTCTCTTTGTCGTTGAGAGCGACGGCGATGCGGACCATCGAGTTGACACCGGCGAGGTCGAAAGGGAGGTACGGTTTGAACATTAGGGAGATGAGGCCGACGGTGGCATCTTGGAATATTGTGATGATGGGGAGGGCCATTCCTGGCAAGCTGGTCATGCTGGCTACGCTGTTTGTCGGCTGCCAGTAGTGAGGGTCCCGTCCGATTATCCTTTGCCCTCTTCTGTGAATATTAAGTGCTCCTCTGGTGTTTTGCTATGCAGTTGTCGAGACAGACTTGCAGTAAAAGTACGACCTTTAAGAGCAAAGTGATATCTGTGGATGGAAAAGAAATCTCTTTTTATTCGAGTATTTCTCGGAGGACAGCCGAATTGCTATTCCGACTGAGAAGATATGAGCATTGTTCGATTTTTCAGTCTTGGCTCCATTGGCCACCAAATGTCCTTGAGGAGCTGTATTCCTTCTCTCGATCACGTCGTACTGGCTTCAATCTGCAGCCCTTCCAGATTGAGTGCGGTGGTAGACGTCTTGCTCTTTGCATCCTGTCATACTAGAAAGAAGCACGTGAGTGTCGTGAGTCATGGCAGGTCGTATGGCGTGGTTCTTGCTGTGGGTACTATTGGCAATGAGGCGACCGAGCAAGTCTTATTAGTAGGGTCTTTTGCCAAGTTGCTCCAAGAACGGGGCTTTTAAAATGTCGTTCATTCAATAGCTGGCTATCTAAAGGCATGCATGCATAGATACATGGAAAAAAGGAGAGACACCCTGCTTGTGAAAAGCTCGCTATGCAATCCCACTGTGTCGTTTCTTGTCTTGTCTAGAACATGCATGTGAGCAAGACCGCCATGCTAGCAGGTTGCCTTCCTAAATGCAGGAGAGGAACATAGGAAAATCGTTAAGCGGGGATTGGGTATGGCCGTATTCGCAACGATTGCTGAGACACCTAGGGATCTTTTATTCTCGGAGGTCTTTTCGCTTGTCACCCATCGCTGAGGCCGTCATCATCGTGAAAAGTGCTCGAGGAATGCGATGTGCCCCTTCATGAGCATATGCGCCTCCCTGCCATGTTACTGCCCTTTACCGAGCAGTACCTTATGTACACCATTCTAGCTCCTGTCTCTCCTCCTGTTCGGCGCCTCAGAGCGGCTCCGACCACCGCCGGAACCCCCCTTTGCTTGCTTCTCCTGTCTCTTCACTCTCTTCTCGTGTCTCTTCTTCCTCTCCTCCAGCTCTTCTGCAAGCTCGTGACGATTCTCCTGCACTTCCTGCCATTCCGAGTACGCTCCTTTGATACCCAGAGCCGCAATACCGATGGCAGCCGCATCTTGGATTCTGGCCTTGTTCTTCTTCTTGCGTGCCTCTTCGGGCGAGAGCTCTCCCTTGGCAACTTCCACGTGGCGTTTGTCACGGGCTTCCATAGATGCGTAGACGCTGTGAGCGGCGTGGATGGTGGCCACAGCGGCGAGGCCGGCAGTCAGGTATTCCTTTCCTTTCATTTTCTTGGTACGGCGCTCGTCTTCGGAAGAGGAGCACACGTCTGATGATTCCGAGGAACTACTGTCTTTCTTGCCTTCGCCTCCCTTGCGTGAGCCAACCTCACTTCGATTGTCTCGGCGTGCGACTTGTTGCCCACCACCACGTTCGCTACCACCATCTCGTTCTCCGTTCTGGAGATAGCCGGCCGGCTTGTACCGTGCTGGTGTGCGGTCATCATAATAGTCCCCGGATGGCCCGCGGTTGCGATTGACCCGTCGACGGTAGTATCCATCATCACTGCTAGATGAGGAGGTGGAGGGTGAGCGCCTCCGTCGAGAGCGGGAACGTCTCTTATCGCGATTGCTGCCTGCGGCTGCTCCTGCCGCTCCTCCTAGACCAAGTGCCATGAGTGCTTTCTCTCCGAGAGATTTACGCCGTTCGCGAGGTCGAGGAGAGACGGAGGATTCGGAGTCGGAGTAATCACGGCGACCTCCTGATGCAAATTCAGTCTCATGTTTTATGCCAGGGGTCGATATCATTGACTTACCTCTCCGCCCATCACCACGTCCACCAGTCCAGCCATCTCTGCCCATGGACTTTGCGCGATCTTTGTTCGGGCCCTTGTAGACGTATCTCTCCTCGACCACATCATCATAATCACGACGAGAACGGCGTCGGTCATCACCACGAGGACTCCTCCTACGAGTGGGCTCCGTATAATTTCGTCGTGGTGGTGCGTCGTACTCGATTTCCTCGTCGGTCTCGGATTCGTAGCCGCCGCCTTGGGTGTTGCTCTTGTTGCGCATTTTCTTGACCTTTTGTATGCCCTGTTTGGTCTTATCCTTCAGCGGATCGTAAACTTTGTCGTAGTGTTCGGTGACTAGAGGCACACCTTCCATGGCAAGTTCAGCAAGGTCCGTCATTGTGACCGTTCCACCAAGACCCAAAAAGCTGGGGAAATGAGGGAAATTTTGTGTCAAATGGAAAGGAAGGGAAGGGAGGAAATCGTACTTTTCAGGCCAAGAGCAAGAGCAGTCTCAGCCATAATGACGACTGAGTTATGATCGGATTATTATTGTAGCGGCAAGGGCGAGAAAGAGGAGAAGGGTGTGTGAGGGTGAGACGCCAAGGAAGGGGCGTGGAGGGTAAAAGGGTACGTACAAAGCTTGATTGCTTTTTGAAGATGGGGTGTGGGGATATCTTTCTTTTTGTGTGGATGAGCAGTGAATCTCGATTATCTTTCGATCTTCCTTTCGGTGATTCAGACTGTGAAGGTGAAGTGCCGAGTGAGGACGTCATATGACGCAGGTTCGAGGGGTGGTATACATACGATGTTGTCTGATTGGATTGTGTCGCGTAGAGAGTAGAGTAAAAGTAGGGTAGAGGAATGAGCGGTGGATGAGAGGATGAGTTGTTCATTCGACCACTTCGCTTCATTTGCTCAAGCGTCGTAATTCAGAACTCACTCTATTAACACTTTGCAGACAACGGCGCCCCGCTTTTCTTGCTTTGCTGCCCCGCCCTCAGCCTATGAGCATTGTGTGGGGGACAGCGGAAAGCAATTCATCCGACGGGCTAGCTCCATTGGATCTAGCACAATGATCTCGCCACTCATCGATCCAAGCCGCTGGGACGGGGTCCAGGGTGGCAAGGTTGGCATGCAGCATGTACTTTAGCATGTACCTCCTTCACCATGCTGAATGCTATGGACATGATTGTCATGAGGCTATACGAAAATTCAATTTCGCGTATACGCTGTCTTTCTCAAACTTCGATAGCTACTCTTCTTGCAATTCTCCTGTTTATACAGTACACGCTTGCCTCATCATGTCAAACCATGACGCCCCGCGCTTCCTAGGTACTACTGTATCATGAAACCGTGACGCCTCACTTCCCCAAGTTACCCAATAGATCCTGCCCGTCCGCCTTCGTCTCAATGGTCCTGAACTTGTCTCCACTGCCTTCGCCCTTCTCAGCCCTCACATACGCCGCCTCACTCCTGTCAGTCAGCAATTTCAGGTCGGCATCACTCAAAATGTCCACCCCCTCGCCAGGATCATAATTCTCGAAGTCCTCGTTGGCTAGAATCTGCTGCAATTCGGTGTATTCGTCTTCTCCCTTTTTATTAGGCTTGCGGTCCAGAATGCTTTTGAACTTGTCCTTCTGGATGACCAGCTTTTCAAGGCGCCGCTTGCCGTCTGCCTTTTCCAACAGAGTTTGCTCGACGGTTCCTTTTGTCGCGAGGCGGTAGATGATGACCGGTCTGGTCTGCCCGATGCGATGGGCCCTGTCTTGTGCTTGCAAGTCCTGTTGAGGGTTCCAATCACTATCAAAAAGAATGACCGTATCCGCCGATGTCAGATTGATACCCTGCCCTCCCGCGCGCGTACTGAGAAGGAAGAGCTTATGATCAGGCTCAGCGTTGAACGCTTCGATCTGCTCGGCGCGGTCTTCAGCCTTGACAGCTCCATCGATGCGGCAGACAGGCCAGCCACGTAGGGTCGTGGCCCATTCTTCGAGAATGTCGAGCTGTTTGGAGAATTGGGAGAAGAGGATAATCTTGTGGCCTTTGGCAAACAAGTAGGGAACTAGTCGGTCGAGCATGACCATTTTACCGGACTCGGTGACCAAGGTTTCGTCTGGGTCAGCGTCTGCTGCCCATGGCCAGGAGAAGTGATGAGGGCTGTTGCAGGCCAAGCGAAGCTGCATGACGGGATTCTGGAGCTTCTTCTGGCTGACTTCTTTCCTCGCTTGCGCGAGGGTCAAGTCCCGGTCACGCTTCTCTAGCTCTTCCTCGTCTACCTCTTCGCTCTCACTGCTCTGCTCAATTTGCTTGAAATACTCACTGTCGCTCACTTCAGCATAGTTCTGACGCCTACTACTGCGCCCGGATCTGATACTGCTCGCTGGTGTCGAGCCTCTCGATGACTTGGCGCTCTTGTTCGGCGTAGATGTTCCACTTCCGCTCTTGCGTTTCTTGCCCTTCATTTCACTGACTCTCGAGTCCTCGAGCTTCACACCAATCCTCTCAATGGCTTTCTCTTCGAGGTAAGCCCGGATGTCGTTGTCTTTGATTTTGCGGTACAGTTCTTTCTGAGCTGGAGTCATTGGTGCATACAGGATGTATTCCCGCTTCTTTGGCAGATTTGTCTCCACGTCGTTCTTCACTCTGCGCAGCAGGAACGGCTTGAGAATTGCATGGAGTGACGCCACGGTCCTTTTCTGCCGCTCTTTCGACATAAATTGCTTGTGCCCATCTTTGTCTTGCACGTCAGAGAAGTCAAACATGCTCTCGAAGTGTTCGAGATCGGAGAAAGCCTCCGGTAGGAGAAAGTTCAGTAGCGACCACAGCTCTGTCAGATTGTTCTGGAGAGGGGTTCCGGTCAGAATGAGCCGGCTTTCTGATGGGTATTGCTTGAGCTCTTTGACAAGCTTGCAATTGAAGTTTTTCAATCGGTGGCCCTCATCCTGCTGATTATTAGCATCGAAAATAACACATCGAGCTAGATACCCACCACGACGATGAATTTCCAGGGATAATTCGCAAGAAATTTCTTATCCCGCATACAAATCTCATAACTCGTGCAAACAACGGGGAACCTCGCCCCCTTTGAATCACCCTTTAGCTGCTGCCGTCTTATCTGTCCTCGCCCTTGCGGTGTTCCATGATACATCACGACAGGAATATCCGGGGTCCAGAACCCAAACTCCTTGACCCAATTGTTCACTGTGCTCAATGGCCCCAAGATCAAGAACGGCCCATTCGTCCCATTCTCCCGTAGAAAAGCCAGGAACGAGATAAGCTGGATCGTCTTCCCAAGACCCATTTCGTCAGCTAAGATCCCGTTCAGTCCGATCTGATAAAGGCATGTCAACCACGTCAGCCCCTCGAGCTGATAGTCCCTCATTTTCCCACCCGAGACCAGTTTCGGCTGCGCGGATGTCCCGACCTTCCTTGCCTCAAGAGCTTGCTTCAATTGATCCATCACCGTAGACGAGAACCCCTGACTCCGGCTCAGAAACCAATCCAGATCTTTCATATAGCTCGGATCCTGCCCGTCCTTCTGCCACCTCTCTTCCTCGACCGCTTTCCGCTCCCTCTCTTCGCGTTTGCTCTGCTTTCGCAATCTTTCTTCTTCCTCGCGCATCCTTTCGACCTTGGGGTCGTAGGCATCGTCGGCGGCTGAGGGGGGCGAGGAGGGAGGACTGGATGCGGGGGAGGCGAGCTCGTCTGGGGAGCCGGGCGTCATTGGTGTGGAGCTCATAGCAGCGAGATAAGGCCTGGTCGTCACGCTCGAGTCAAGAAGGGAGGGTTGAAGCGCTCACGAGGCTTGGAGGAGACCGTGGGATATGGCGGCACAGGGCGACCAGAACGTGGGTCTGACTTGCAATGGTTTGCCCTCCGGTTTTTTGAAAGGATTCGAGCGAGTCGAGCTTTCTTTTACAGTTTCTGTTTGGGATGGTCAGGGGTAGACAACTTTAGAAAAGGCACTTGGGTGAGATTCGCCACCGGTGGAGACGGAATTTGTCTTCCTCTTTGTCTTTCAAACGCAAAGGCTAGACGTCCACCCCAAGGATAATAAACGGTAGAGAGAAAGCCAACGGATTGGATATGTAACGACGCGTAGTCAATAAAGCTCAGGAGAGTATTGGTACCTGACAGGAGAAACGGCCCAAAAATGATGATGTAAAAGCTGAGATCGACGCGACGCGATCTTTGATTGACTTTTACGTGTACGACCCAGATCTTTAGAGAAGGACGATCTATAAAACACTGGACGACAGGCAAAAGAAGAAGTGGCAGTGGCAGTCTTCAGTGTCGACTCCTTCAATGGTATTGGCTGCAAGTTACGGAATCAAACGCTTTCAGTGTATAGACCCAGCTCAAACACTGTTTCCAGCCAATCTGCTTCTCGTTATCATAGGTCTGAAGGTTTTTCGGGACTTTGTACAGCTACAACGGCGATTTCTTTTAGCAGCACGACCGACGATGTGGGAAATGTAATATTGTAAAGGATAAAGACACGTTTGTCTGGCCTCTCTAACTTTAATGTACAAAGTCGGGTTTCACAGAAGTGGGTATCGTGCATAAGCTCTCCGCTATTCATTCAATCAATCGAGCATTGTTTATTCGTCAATTTCAAGCCCCTTTTGCCGGCATTCCCTAAACCTGTTACCGCTGCGTGGTTCTCTGTCACCACCTAATCAGTGACTGCTGTCGATCCTGTGGAACTTTCTTGTCCAATTTATTGGCAGATCGTGCACTGCCACCCGCCTGACAACAGGACCTTAGGGATTTCAAGGCCTGCTCAAGTCGCACTCTTTTTCCGTTTCTTCTTGTTGACCGAGTCTCCATTTTTAATAACGCCACCAGTTTCTTGCGGAGCTGATGCCCCTACATTGGGATTTCCACTGCTTTGGCGATTTTGGTCCCTTCGCGCCGAAGGCAGGCCTTGAGGCGCCCGAGAGTGTGAACCTACAGACGAAGAGTGCTCCTCTTGCGGGGTGGGAAGAACTGATGATGCACCACGTGCTTTTAAGAGTTCATTGTTGATTGCTCGTAGATCTGAACCTGTCAAGGCGTTGCGTTGTACTGGTAATGCTGGTAGGGTAGGTGGTGGTATGCGCGATGTGCTTTGGTATCTGGCACGCAGATCGCCACTTTGACTTCCGGGTACGACTCGATAGGACTGTATGGGGACCTTGGACAGCGGTGCTGCAGGAGAGTGTTGCGCGATCAGAGCGTGGACAAGAGTGGGTCGATGTCCGGGCAGCAATGCTTGAGTGCGTTGTTGTACAAGTTCGAGACGAGCATCAGGTGGATTCGAGGCTCTTTGAGAAGGAGTGACCAGAGTCGGCCGCCTTGAAAAAGGCACCTTTGAAACACTGGGTGGATTTTGAGCAGCGGTGCTTGAAAGGCTCGCCTTAGGCTTGCTCTGCGCAGGTCCAGGTTTTGTGCCGCTTGCAGCGTCCGAGATGGACGGCACATCCCAATTACTGTCAGCTAATTCAGGATCGAACCCACAGTATCTGAGATACGCTCTGGCTTTCTTCAACTCCATGAGGTTTGTTTGAAGATGGTCATCCTCGTTGATAGTCCCGTAAAGGTTCTCCTCCACCATCTGATGGAATGCCGATTGTGACAAGTGCCTACCCTGTAGGAGGACGTCCTGTGTCTGCTTCTGTAGACTTTGTTGATTCGCCTCCTCTCCAGCTGCTCGGTTTTGGCGTTGAATCAGAAGCTCGACCAGCTCTGTTTTCTGAGAGAGACTGAGTCGTAGCTGATGCATGACTTGTGCTGGATCTGGGTAGAGCTCTGCGATGGCATCTGCAAGGTCCAGCTTGTGTGCGACTGTGAGACTGTTCCAAGCAGGGAAGTCTGGGATGCTGGCGGTCCTGGCGAGTTTTGTGGATCTGACAGCTGCATTTTCCTCGTCACTCGATTCCATTTCCAAGATATTTCTGTCTAAGTCGCTCATTCTGCCAGCTTCCTTCATACGCGCCATGTTGCTTACCCATATCGGGTTCCTTGGTCCGTTGTCGGTAGGCTCTCCGTAGATGCTCGAGGACATGCTAGCTCGAGGCTGTTTCTGTACCGTACTCGATGTATGCAACACATTTTGGGACCCCCGATGCGTGGATTCTGCTGTAGTCGATGTCATGATTGGATGATCCGCTGTGAGATCGATCTGTTCGTGGTGGCGACCGCGGCCGATGAAATCTGGATTAATTGCCTCAGAACCCGCTAGCCTGGGTTTTTGGCTCTGCGACCCCGACAAATGTGACTCAAGGTCGAAAGCAATGTTTCCTCCGTTGTGCACATAATCGGGATGATCGAGCGTGGGAAAGGCAGCAGGTGGGAGGTCGGCGTTAAATTCTGTCACTTCTCCACGATATGCGCGTGCTTTGGATTTTGGCTTTCTTGGTTTTGGTGATTCGTAAATTTCTTGCTCAAGTTCAGAACTTTCCTTTGATTCTTCATGTGACCCTTGGCGGGGAGGAGAAGAAGTAATGATATCCTCATCCTCAAATCTCCTAGGGGTCTTGATTCTCTTTCGATTGCGAAGATGATGTTTTCTTGGCGACATCTCGAGGATTATGATAGCACTATGTCCCTTTCATGCTATGGAGAGAAGGCAGAGCAGGCAAGTTGCGTGAGGATGAAGTCGAGGAAGAAGTATGGCATGCTCTCATGCCAGAGCAGATGAGGATGTTGAGGTGATGTGAAAGCAGTGTCATAGGAGTGTTGATAGGAAGGAGCGATTCCTAAGTGTGATCATATTGAGCGAGTCGTGTTCAATCTGCTGAATAATTATACAGGCACGACTCACGCAAGAAGTCTCAGCATCACAAGGGATACCTACTTTAAGGTGGCAAAGGAAGAATGTTCTTGATCAGTCTTCCGCTATACCTGGCTTGACGCAATATGAAAAGCCTGCTAATCTTTTGGCAAGCTTGACGAAGAAGAAAGCTGATGGGCACTCACTTCGCTGCCGAGGACAGCTAAAGGAACACCATTGAATCATCTATGCAAGGGTATCACAATTCCACGCTGGATCTTATCACAATATAAACCCTCAGGAGATGGGTCTGTCCTGGAATGGAGCAGAGCCATCCCTCATCTCAAACCTGCCATAGTCCAGGTGTACATTTCCCCCATCCATCTCCATATCATCATCGTGAGTATCATCAAACGTTCTCTTCGACCCTTTTCTGGCCCCAGTATCACTTCCTACGCTGGTGCCTGGATCTCTAACCCCTCCAGGCACACCGAGCAATCGATTGTCCGCCTGCACGACATCCCGTTTTGCCTTCAGGATGATCTCGTATGTCGAAAGGAGGTTTCTCAGTGAGTCGTCAAACGCGACAGCGAATCGTTGAGCCTGAACGATCTGGATCGCTTTGATCAAGTCTGTAGCGTACATAGCCATGATGTATGCCGTCACAAGTGTGGCTGAGCGCTCATTCCCACTCTCGCAGAATACCAAGACCCTCCCAGGTGTGGATTGAAGGTGATCATGTCCGGTAGCCGCTGTTTGTGTGCGTCTGAACTGATCTTGCTGGTACATTGCCGATAGATGTGAATTGATGGCTTCGATTGCCCTTGGGAAAGCTGCAATCAGCTCTTGATTTCCAGCCACGTCGATCATCTTTGTATCAATCCCAAGCTCTTGCGCCGCTTTTGATCCGAGGAGCTGTGCTTGGGCGGACATGGTGTTGCGTACTGCTATGACCATGGAGATGCCTTCTCTTTGTAGGAATCTCCGATCTTTCGCCGCTGACATGGGTCCGAGATAGAGAAATGGTAAAATCTGCTGAGCCATCCTCCGTTGTTCGTACTTCCAATCCAGCATGTCTAGTAGTATGTCAGCCCAAGGTCCGGAGGCATGGGCAGTAAACACTCACTGTTGATGGTCATGAAGTTGCCGTACGTGACCGTTTGAAGGAATTCTGCATTTTTGAAGCCGCTTGACTCGAAGTCATAGGATGCATCTTGAACAACATGAAGATCTGGTACGCCGTAGGAGTTCAAAGCAGGAGGTGGAACGATGATTCGAGGTGGTGATGGTACTCGAAAGCTCCAGTTTTGTGCTGGAGCGTGAGGTGCCGCCATGTCGGCCGACGATGCAGGCATGTTGAGAGATGCGGTATGGGTGTGAGTTGGTTTGCCAAGTGAGGTAGGAGTGACAGTTTGAGTCTTATGCAGATGTGAGGCGCGAATGGAGAAGCACCAGGAACAAACCACGCCCCAAGTCCGCTAGCTGATGGTGCAAATGTTGCGATGAGTGGATGATGTTGAGTTGTGATACATTACGAAGGCGACATCCTTGCTCCCCGGGACTGTTTTTAGGATGGGGTGTAAGTGTCAATGGAAAGTGACGGTATTGGTGTTGCAGCCTTTGCTGCGTGTGATGTTGCCATGAAGCAACTTCCGCTTATCAAAGATCTCGCACAATATTGCAATCGATTCACTGATTATTGGACTCCAAGCGCTTCAGAAGCTTTGTTTGTTTGTATGATTGATATTGCTCAGAAGTTCGATGACACCAGCCGCGCCGAGGTGGAGGGTTGCATAAATGACATAAGTTATGCAAGGTACTCGCACCATTCCAGGTTTATGCTCCCACGCTAAAATGCCTAGTGCCGCCAAAAAGCTCCCCGCAGAAGGAAAGTGCGTTAGTGAACAACCATGCTCAAGGACCAAACTCATGGAGTTTGACGAGAGGCAACAAGTAAAGGGAGGTGATCCATAGATTCCACAAATACCACGTCGTCTTATCAGACACGATGTCTCGAAAGATCAATACCCGGAGTGCGATCACGCTGCCGAGTATCGCTGGCATTATACACCCATAGACGCCAAGCTCCCAGAATGCCGGACAAGCCAATGACCAGAACATGACCGGCACGGCAATGGTCCATCGTGCGGTCCAGTCACCTAGCACCAGGGGCAGGGTCCCTCTATTCCTTGCTCGGTCTCCTTCTTGGTCTGCCTGGGATGCCAGTCAGTACATTTGATCTATCAAGCATCGTTCTTGTAGAGGACTTACCATATCCTGCATCTGCAGGGTGCTGAAGACTATTCCCCCAATTATGGCCAGCCATTGGTAGGCCTTTTCATTCAAAGAGAATTGGCCTTGACCGCATGCTACCCGTGTGGCTCCGGCGCTGTAGCAGATAAAGCCTGCTGCGTTGATAAGGTTCCGGACCACAAAGTTCTCATCGGCGCCACCAAGATCATTGTACATATATACAAGCGTGTTCATGACGATGAATTCCTCCATGCCACCTGTATAGAAGGTAATGATGGTGGCGATAGGAAGGACGGCGAGGAGCAGACGTCTCGCTTGGCATGCAGATAGTCTTCCGGACGGGATTGGACGCCATGCTTTGTTGATAGAGTCTTCGATGATGGAGTTTGGCAGACGCTGGTTCGCCAAATCGAAGATGAGTACGTTGATCCAGGTCCAAAGGACTACGAGCGGTACCCGTTTGAGGACACTGGTAGCGTCTGGTGAGTTGTTTGAGGTGATAATCGGTCCGGAAAGAGCGCTGCAGACGCCAAACGCTGTCTCCGGAATCACGATTGACTTGAGATCGTTGCGTGTGACGAGCCATATTGTATGGAAATCGTATAGGATCGAGTGGATTTGACTTTGGTCTTCCTGCTGCTTGTCGTGAGGCTTCATTCTGTCCGTTGCTTGCTCTGTTGGACGTTGAGATGAGGAGAATTTGTGAGTGTGATGTTCACCAGAGACGATGAAATCTATGTCGATTACCGTCGGGTCCTCTGTGACCACAGGAAGAAGGGGAGAGTCTTTCTGGGGAAGATTGGCCACGGTCATATCTACCCTGATTGGAATGTCTCCATTTGATTTATTTTTTCGTGGGCTGTTGCACGTGCTCATTAGATTGTGATAACCAGTCTATGTATACTTCTCAGAGATCGAGGGATTCAAGCGAGCGAAGGATTGACGCCAAACATCGCAGCGTCGGTCCAACATTCCTGGGCAAGAGTCAGGTCAATACGCTTGCCTTTACACTTTAGGCCTAGTAGTATGGCTGCTCGAGGGGCGGGAAGCAGGATGGACTCCCACAATGCATGTAGCAATGGTGCCGGAGAGGCAGCCGGGATACCAGCCAGATAGCGGTGGGGGTCGTCCAGCCAGCTGGTAAACTCTTTTTTCCCTTCTGCATCTTTTCTTTCCTCCACTTACGAAGTGTTGCGCTAGTTGACGTGGCAGGCATCTTTTGGAGCGGATACCAAAGCCAGGGGCCCGGAAACCGTATTCCCGGAGGCGGGAATTAAGTTACCTTCAACGGCTCGCTACTCTGCATCATCGGCACATGTTGGTGAGGTTGATCGTTGGTCTAGAAAGGCGCGAGAAGTTACCATTTACCAAATACTCGGATTTCATCATCTGACAATCTCAATAGGCGATCTCGCTTGTTTAGCGCTGCGACCAATCTACTTACGAGTAGGACTCAGGCGCACACCAATGCGAATGCTTCATTACTGATCGCTAATATCTCAATTTGTAATAGATTCTTTCTGGTCAGCTTCGAGTCAATAAATCAATTGTACTGATGGCAGGACAACGAAGAGACCGATGTTTTTGTTTTTGTTTTCGATTGTTCGAAAGAGGGGCCAACATGCAGGGTTGGATCATACCTGCTTTAGCTGCATGCATGAACGACTATGAAGCAAACTAAGAAAAAAGATTTGCATCTTCGTCAACAATGTAACGCAACCGGCGCCAATGACTATCTGGCATTCTGGCAATCAATACTTTGACGCCTACTCTCACCATTGCCACGTATCTAGCTCTCTGCTATTATTTTCCTGGCTGCCTAACCCTGCACGACGTCGTCTTTGCTGCTCGTACTGTTGTCGTACTCGGTGAGACGACTACTTCCCCTGGGCGCCTAATGATAGGATACCCTACCTAAACCTTTTCTATAAGCCGACCATCGCCTTCCATCCTTCTCAACCCCCAAGCAAGTAATGCATCACTACTGCTCAACCTCGTACGGCATTGCCGCCAGCGTAGGTGTACTCTCACACGTCTTCTACTTTGTCCGAGGTGAACATCATCAGCATACTCTACAGTGCCTTCAGATCCTTTTCTATGGCTTCCTTCCCTTATCCTTCATCCTCGCCCGACTCCTGCAGATACAATATGCCCAAGCCGTGCAGTTGGGCGCTATGGTCATCGTGTCCTATCTTTCTGCACTGTGGACGAGCATGCTGATCTACCGATCTTTCTTCCATCGCCTCAATTCCTTTCCGGGACCTCGACTAGCAAAGCTTTCGAAGTTTTATCAATTTTTCACGGGTTTGAGGTTGGATGCATTTCGCAGATCGCATCAAGCACATCAGAAGTATGGCAACTTCGTGAGGACTGGTAAGTTGATCTAGGATCTGAGACTCTAAATGACCCGCTGTTTCTCCTTGGAGGTTTGTATTTTCCTTGTAGTTTCTTTGGCCCTAAGAGGTCGACACAGATCTCGCCACTGTATCATTGTATTGTACTATTGCTCTCTACAGCAAGGCTGGGGGCAATCGTCAAAAGAGCCCTCCTTGTCCAAGACCTTTGTGTGCTCGGGGCTCAGTCCGAAGGTCGTCGAGCTTCAGGCCATTCTCAAGACATTTCGAACTTGCGTTGCCCCGATTTAATCCACGTGCAAGAAGATAACCTCTTCTTCTCAAAAGAGCCGTTTGACCTAACCAAAATTGTCACTTAGGACCCAACGAGCTTTCGGTCATCTCCCCGGGTGCGCCCGTTGCTATCCTGGGCCCTCGATCACCGTGCATAAGGTCGCCTTGGTACGACTACGCTCTCTATCAGTCCATCGAATCTCTTCACAGCACCCGAGATGTTGCAGCGCATGAGGCGCGAAGAAGAGTCTGGGACCATGGATTTAGCGTCAAAGGTACCATCTCCTCCTTCTCGGCCTGTGTCCGGTATTGACGTCCATCCCAGCGCTACGAGACTACGAGGGTCGCGTCACGGACTACACCCATGAGCTGATTGAGAAGATTTCGAATTTCGGCGGCAACTCGATGAACGCGTCAGCATGGTTCAACTACTGGTCCTTCGACGTCATGGGCGATTTCACCTTCGGGAAAAGCTTCAACATGCTCAAGACTGGGAAAAATCACTTTGCCATCGACTGGTTGGAAAGCTCCATGTTCCTTCTCGGCCTTTTCTCACCAATCCCTTGGGCGGTGCCCGTGGGTGCGATCGCGCCGGTGGTTGGAACGTGTTTCAGGCGATTCATCCGCTGGTGCAATGAACAGGTGGACGAGCGCCGAGATGTCAAGACTACTGTGCCCGACATCACGTCTTGGCTTCTCAAGACCGCTCAAGACAAGAATGACATCGAAGCGACCAAATGGTTGCATGGAGACTCTCGATTGCTCATCGTGGCCGGCAGTGACACCGTTGCCATCGTGCTCACGCACATCTTCTACTACCTCGCCAGAGACCCCACGCACGTCCGGAAACTGCGCCAAGAACTGGACCCCCTGATGCGATCAGACGAGCCCTTCAACGTCCGAATGGTGCAGAACGCGAGGCACCTGAACGGCGTCATCAACGAGGCCTTGAGACTGCATCCGCCAACCCCTTCCGGAGGATTCCGCACCACGCCACCCCAAGGCATTACGGTAGATGGGGTCTTCATCCCGGGTGGAGTCAATCTCAATGTGCCAATCTACGCACTGGGGCGCTGTGAGTACCGTCACCTAGGGGCTGTTGCTTGGTCCGTGGCTGACGTCTTGTTAGCGAGAGAGTGCTTCGTCCGCCCCGACGACTTCGTGCCCGAGAGGTGGTACTCGGAGCCTGAGCTCATCCTCAATAGAAGTGGCTTTGCTCCTTTTTCGCTCGGTGAGTTGCTGCAGCCCTACGAACCGCGCGCCTTCAAACAAGCTATCAGAAATATTTGCGCTCTAAGGCGGTGACTTTTTTGTTTTGCGCGCAACTGTGAATTCATGCCCAGAAAGATTGTCTTTCACTAGCAACCGGTCACTCCCACTTTTCGTTTTTCATTTTATCTTTTGGCTTGCCTACCTCCAGACCCAGTCTCCACAATCTTGCCACTGACCCAGACTCTCACCAGGCCCATACGGCTGCATCGGCAAAGAACTAGCCAAGATGGAAATGAGGACCGTGGTCCCGCTCCTCATCTCCCGCTTCGACGTCAGGCTTGCCCCCGGAGAAGACGGGAGCGGCTTGCTGGAGAAGAGTCGAGACGCATTCACGCTGCGGATGGAGGAGTTGAGGGTGGTCTTTGACGAACGAAAGAGGGGCTAAAGAGGCCTGCTTGTGCGCAATGCGCATGAGGGTGGAGCCCGTCAAGGGACGCCGGGTTTTGCATTGGAGAAGCGAGCGTGCTTGGATTTTATGCTGATGCGAACTTTATCCACCCAAAGGGTTCTGTCGTTTTTCGTTTCTGTTGAGCCGAATGTGCCATGTCAACACAAGCGAAGAGCGTGTGGAATCCTCAACATCCTATGATATACTTCGGCATGAAAGGCTATATAGAAAACGAGGTCGATTGCCAAATTATATGCCCGTTGTCAAACTTGCACGAGCACAACTCCTCTCAACCGTACTCTACAGGCTCAATCTCAAGATGGATACTCCATGTGACTCCCCTCGAGCATCAACCATCATACAACATTCATTATCTCCCAACCCAGGATTTTCTCTATTCGTCTAGAACTGCTCGGGCCGAGAAATTGCTGCAGGATGGTGAACTCGACAACCGAGTTTTCGTCCCGGCTTCGACGTTGTTAGAGCGAAAGGCACCATGGCGTAAATTCGGCTTGGTCGTCCGGGAGTATGATCATTTGTGAGCACTCAAGCCTTTTGAGGGGAAAAATTACAGGTCGGATGCTAAAGATATACGCTTCATGTTCGATCCGAGTGATTCGAGATATTCCGACCTCGTCATGTCTGGTAACTGTTCGAGGTTTTCCGGCAGTACACATGTACTCTACGGTGTTTAGAAATTGCCTGGGAGGGAGAAAAAGGTGTTTCCTCGCACATATTCGCTCGCATTGTTGTTAATACCTAGGTCGGATTGCTCCTTTTCGTTGAACACATGTCGTTTGATATTGAATATATGAATCATTGTTGACGTGCTTTACCTATATCATAAGACCTCTTATGTGTTTACTCACTATCATACAAGCTCCACCCTCTTTTCTGGCCAGAAAAACCACGCCGTGGTAATCAGGACCTTGATGCCCCCAGCTATCCAAAGGTCGAACTGCATCCTCCCGGTCGCCTGACCAATGTAGCCACCCACGATGGCCCCAACCAAGATGCAAGTGAAAGCAAGGGCCCGCCTGTTCCTCTTAACATTGCTCTTCAATGGCGCTGCGATATTCGGATCCGAGGCTATGTCGCAAAGCATAGATGTGAGGACCACACTTGGGATCTCAGACACGCCCAACGCTCTGCTGCCGATGATCTGACCTGCGGCCTGAAAACTCAGCAGTGAAATCGGCACCTCGTCCTTCCACATGATATCCGTATTGATGGTATCCAGCGCCCCGTTTACCACCCCCGCTTGTATGATCGCCGCCACAACAATGATAATCACCGACTGCAGCGCGAACGACGCGACGAGCGTGGCGCGCCGCAGTGGACCGGAATACCGAGCGAGGCGCGAGAAGAAAAAGCAGCCGAGGCAGAAACAGACGATGGACGTCAAGGACTTGGCCCAGCCGTATGGCTTCGAGGTTGTCCTAGAGGTGGACGGGCCGAGGCCTACGAAGATTGTATTTCCAGTTTGCATGCTGACAAACGTGCCGTAGGCGTTGTAGATTGTGCTA